AAAAAATCTCTGAGATAATTTTATGGTCATCATTATTTAATCTGCCATAATCAGATAATGGATAATTTATTAAAATATTCCCCAAAACGACATTGGAAAATTATAAAATAATCCTTACTAAAACTTCTTGCCATTAAAAGTTTTCATAAGAATGCGCTAGATTGAATCATTCATTTTTAAAATAATTTTAGTTGAACCTTCTGGATCACAAGTTATCAAATGCATTTAGTTGATTATTGATGTAAATTGGGTCAAAATAATAAGTTGGTGGTGATTATGATGTGGGTAATTCAATTCAGTAAATTAAATTTTATGAATATTTCAATCTGAAATTATATGATCCTTGAATAACAGGTATCATTTCTGCAATCAATTATTTAATAAGCTATTCAGAATTTACTTATGTTTCTTAATAATATCTATTTACAAGTTTAAATGTTGTTTATCCTGAGAATTCTTCAGGCTGATGTAGTGCATTTTCCTATTACTTATTAGGGGGCTGGAATCTCTGCCATTTGAACCCTCCATCAGCTAATTTGATAAGGTTTGCAAAAAATCTTTATAAAGAAGTAATAACGGTCCATCAGAAACCTTAAGCCATCAATTATATTTTCAATTTAGAAATATCATTTTCAATCGCATCCTAGTCCCTTTCAATATAAGCAGATAATCATTTATTTATTTTTTTAATATCATAAATGCAATCATTAATGAATTCAACTAAGTTTGCTCTAATGTTTCAGAATCTAATATTACAATATTTAAACCTTGTCCCAACACCACATAATTGCCACTAAAGTGTTAATATGATGGGTTTAATTCTGGATTGAGGAGTTAAAAAAAGATTTTTTTTAATCTAAACGAATTATTCTCTAAAAGCTACAACTTTATGGAGATAATTTTAATCTAGCAAAAAAATGTTCTTACATTCATATTCCATTTATGGGAAATTCCCATAATATGATCATATTTGATATAGAAAATTCCCTTTAATATTTCTAATTTGCTATTCTGGATTTATTCTTTGCATAATGATTATCGACTCTTTTTAAATATCTATTTATTTTATACTGTCAGTATGTTATTAAATTCAGAAATTTCTAAGCCATAATATCATTACTTATTATTATTAATAATTAAATTTGGTGGGTTTATCATATTCATCCACTAATGACATTCAAATCAAATTTTAAATTTGAACAAATTGAATCTATAGTAGAATATTTAATTTGAGAACAGGAAATTTATAAAATTCTTAGTTACTTTCATTCTGAATTATTCAAAAATTATTAAAAAGGTTAATATTAATCAGCTAATCCATATATATATTAAATATTATTTTTAATAGAAAAAATTGAAAATGTAGATGAGATGTAATTAAAGCCGCCATCGAAATCAATCAATAATAGGGCTTTGTATAGATACCACATGCCCAATTTTAAGAGCTTATTGTAATTATTGCTTGCCTTTCCATGCCTAAAATCTTCATAAATAACCTCTTTAGATCTTATAAATGAACGGATTTAATAACCAATTCTTTAGTTTTATAATGTTAAAACAATAGACAAGAGTTTAAAGTTTCTCTTGAAAAATTCTAAATCAATCCCTTATTTTAACTTTAATATTGATTAAACACCTAAATTAAGATTATCATAGCTTGATAAATAGTAAAAGGTTTAGGTTCAATAGAATAATGCGAAAAAACGCTATTTAGATAACTGAATCAATCATTTAATAAGTAATAGAGATTGTTATCTAAATAGTAACAACAATAAAGAATCAATCTGATATAACCAAAAATAATCAAATTTAAATTTCATAAAGCGTAGGTAAATTTGCAGTAGCATTTAAGAAAGATTGTTCAATTGGATGTGAAAAATCAGTAAAAATATATGAATTTGAGAAGGAGTGTTGCAACTCTTATCTCAACATTAAATTTAGGTGAGCACCTAATATTTTATGTAAAAATCCAAGATATTTTACTTTGGTCAAAAAACAACAATAATTAATGGAGTTTATCATAAACACTTAAAAAACACAATGAATGATTGTATAAATTGTTTAATTATGAATAATGAAGATATGATTACATGAATTAGAAAAGACAAGACAATTAACTTTTGGATGAAAAAAGGATGGATCTGTTAATAAGCAATAACATATCACCAGCATTAAGTTTATGAATTAAGCTTAAATGAAATAAAGTTATTTCATGTGGATAAGATCAATTAATCTTAGTAATTGACTACTCAAAATAGAATAAACAATGGATTGTAGTATAAACAATTTATGGTGATTGTCTTGTTATGAGATAATGTTTTATGAACGATAATTTTTTCACATTTCAACCAAAAAAAGGCAATTTGATCTATAACTAAATATTTAAGAGATGAGCAATCTCAGTTAATAGTTCATTCAAGCTTCTGTAAAGGTGATGATGGGAATTTATTCTTCCCTTAATAATATATTAAATCAAAATAGTTGTTGGTGAGCAAGAAAGATAATTATATCAATTTGATAAGCAAGATAGATAATTATCAATTTAAAGTGGAGTAATCTATTCAATTTGGTATATGTTATTTGTGTTCCTCAGTCATGTGGACAGCATTTGACTACTTGGGATGATGCAGAAATATAAATAAGGAGAATTTTACAAGAATGGGAAATTTTAAAAATTATACATTAAATATTTCATTTTTTATTAATTAATTTAACTTAAAAAAGATTTTTGAGTAGGTTTTTTATAAACTAATCAACAAATAATGTAATACATAAATAACTTAATTGACTATACTATTAGAATTGTAACAAGTAAAAAATAAAAATAATTTCAAGTGTTATTATATCAAGTTGAATTCTAAAATATATTTTTTAATGTAGGTTAAAAGTTCATAGGATAAGCAGAAAATTTAAGTTGATAATAATTTAGGCACTAGGGATTTCTTAAATTATAAGATTGAGAATTATCTCGTTTGATGATTAACTATAAAACATAGCCGATATCTACCAGAATTAACTTTATTTTTCAAATACAATTCATTAATATGAGTCGGAAGATTTTACATTCCGCTATGTAAAAATTGATTACTTCAGAAATTGATTACATTCGTTACTCTTAAACTTCGCGTTAGGTTTGTGCTTTTGTTATTAAATACTCCAAAACAAAATACTCTAATTAAATCATCTAGAGTTTTAAATTAATTACTCTACGTAGACTTTTATATTGAGAGTATTTAATAGCTAATTTAGTTGATATCTAAGAATATTCATTTTTTTGAAATTTTACTGAAACTTTAAAATTACAACTCCGCAAATATTAGATATTATTTCCCCGAAATAGAGAATGTTTACACTTTTTTCACACCTATATAATAAAGTCTATAATTCTAGCCTATTATATAACAAAAAAAATTTGAGCTTAAAGTTCTGTTCTTGCATGCTAAATTCTTAAAACAAAATTTCTTGAAATTTCCAATAATTTCTAAACTCTACCTTATTTCAATCACAATTTAAACCAGCAAAAAAATAACTCAAAATTATTCCTCC